AGAATCGTGACACCCCTAGTTTGAACCCTCCATCCATTACAGAAATATTTGGGTCTTCAGTTTGTTTCAGCACAGCCACTTAAGTTTGTCTTTCTTAGGTTTGGTGCACAGCAGGGGTCTGCGAGGGCAGAATCACAGGGAATGACTTGTCAAAGTTGTCTGAGTTGTCAAAAAAGAAAACAAAAAAAGTGTCTCCGGGAGGTCAGTCTTTGGCTGTCTGATTGCCTTAGTCTGTAACATTTTGGAGGATCTATTGACAGGAATGTAATATTCATAACTCTGTTTTCATGTGTGAATAATCACTTGAATATAAAAATCTTTGTATTTTTGCCTTCCATGGAGTCTGCCATGTTGAACCGCCATGTTTTTACAGTAGCCCAGAACGAACAAACCAGATGCTGGCTCTAGATAGAGCCTTTCATGTTTTTCGAAGGTTATGAGGCCGCTATAGTTTCTCCTACATCTTGGAAAGCGAATGGTATTATGTTTATTGATGCATGCTAGATGCTACTAAATCCTACACACTGTAACATTGTAACGGTTGGAAGCTAAAAATGCAAATTAGTAGTAATAATTTATAGTGTGGCCACATATGACTCAATCTAAGTACTACAAAATTTCCATTGAAAATACTTTAATGATAATAAATAATAATAATAATAATAATAATAATAATAATAATAAATTACTAAAATGTAACTTAAATTAGTTTTAGCATTTCCTGTAATATTTTTTTTCTATAACAGCCTGCCTTGTTTATGAATGCAGCATGCATACATCCATGATTAGTTAGGAGCTAAAATGTGATGATCAGATAGTGAGTGCATGTCAGATGAATGGTTTAAATACACTGCAATTGTGGATCCAAACAGGAACTATTTGGAAAAGAAGTGTGGAACAGGAGGACCCCTTTTCCACCAAATCATCTCTGGTTCTTGAACTGGTTCTGTTCAGGATTCAACAACAGTCAACAATATATAATCTTATTAGAAATAAACCTGCCTCCTGAGTTAAGCTGAATAGGGTCAGCTTACGCCTCACATTTTCTCCTCGACATGTTGTGTGTTCCTAGGCTTGTTCAGAAATAAAGTAGAGATACACAACCAGTTTTCTAAGCACTCAAACCTATTTACAATTCCCTGCTTTATTATAAATGCTTTAAACTGGAAACAGAGAGAGAAGCTCTACTTTCCTCGACCGTATATCCTCTTCCAGGAGGCATGTGTAGTTACCTGACGATGCGATAAAAAGAAAAATCTGCTTGTGAATTTTATCTCTGATTAAATTAGGTGTTGCCTGGTAACTTCACCTCAGTATTAGTCATGCCTCACTAAAATGGAAATAAGTTTCTTAAAAAAAAAAAAAGGACATTAAAGAATGCCCTTTGTAATAAATGGAATGGGAATTGCAAATATGCACAGTCATGAAATTTAATTGTGCTCTCTGGTGACTGGTTTGTGGGTGCTGAGGAGCAGAGGTGCAGGAGAAGAGCTGGGGGCAGAGGTGGTTAAATGTAGCGCGTAACGCACTGCCTGAATAGGCTAATGAAGCCACTGTTTATGACCCGCTGCAATTGTGTCATCTCTTGAATGCCAACACAATGCCAGTGTGCACGTGGAGCCGCAGCTGTGTATGTGTGTGTGGCTCCAGGTGAATCCCCAGGATGTGCATCTATCTTCCAAAAGTAGTATTGTATTTAGCACATTTTAATGTCTTAATGTTGAGGCCACATACAGTACATACAGTGCAATACAACAGTCTACAGCACAATAGTAAACAATATTAAAATCACTTATAATAACTTTAGAATGTCAGTGTAAGAAAATATATAAATATAATATATAAATGAAAGCAATAAGAAATACAATGTAAGTAAATACAAAGAATAAAACAATGTTTTTTGCAAATCGGTATAGTCCCTATAGTGATATGCAGGCTTATGTACGGACATACATTTTTAGAGGACTTTTATTATCATATGAAAACTAATTGACCTCAGTGTATCGGCTAAGTTATAAA